ATATATATATATGGTGTTTTGTATATTTCTTTTGTTTCCATCATAGCATTACGTATTCCGTCAATTGCATAGACGTTTTCGTTCGAATACGCAAAACTACAAAAACGCGCTTTTGCACATTTACACAATATAAAACTGATCACGTGCTTCGACTTTCTCTCCTGGTTTTCCTGGCGCTTGCAGCGGTCATTCGCGAGTTTTATGTGTTAATTCTGACATCAAAATATGTTAGACTGTCTTCGGATTTTATTATACGTGAGAACTGTTCAAAAGAAAACCCAGGGCAACCATATGTGGATTACTATTAATTCGCTCACTGACGCCAACGAGGAACCATTTTAAAGAGAACGATTCTTGGTGTGTCTGTCCCATTAGACCCTCTTTACTATTGTATACTCAACCTAGCGTTATTATTTTTAGTTCTCTGCCACAAACTCCTGATAAAGTAGCTTTTTGGCTAGCCAGACCACTACAGATAGGATTTAGTTATTCTATAACGGATTTCGCCTTGCTTAAATGCTGTCAGAAACAAGTTGTGCATCTTATAGTCATTCAGTTTGGCAATCCTGACTGAACACAAACAGATGGCCAAGATACTCTGCTTCGATGTCCGGCTACCAAAGTGAACGACAACAACAAACGAACACGAAGTCTTTCGAATGGTGCATTGATTCGCAGCATAGAAGCACAACCGAAGCACGTAGTTTCATTGTGAAAATAAAATCTAGTGAATCTTACCCTCCAATTCGTGCGGCCACCAACCTTATCTCAGCCAGTTCTCAAACAATTCTAGTAGATGCTCGCTTCCAAAATCGTAGAACATAACATTTCACTGTTGTGATCCATGTTGCTGGTGTTTCCATTATCTTAATGATGTGCGCTTACAACTTACTTTCTTGACCTAATAATCATGTGCGCTGCTACAAATATGCTTGAGAAAGTGGTCAACGAGATTAAGTTTTGGGGGGCATTCTCCTACTGGTTCACCGAGTTCCGGATATTTCTTTTTTATTGATGTAGATTTCCAGGTGACAAGAGCTTACCCTTAAAACAACTCACCACTGTTTGGGCTCGTTTTGATCACCCATAGAATCCCCTGGTGCTGTACCGCTTCATTCGAAGACGGAGAACAGTGCTTGTCCTTCCATTAATATAGGGAAAAGGATCCAACAGTATTGATGCCGAAATGCCAGCTCACACAATCAAATTAGCCAACTACGGTCATAAGTGCATCAACCTTCTTTTAACGCTCATGCGCACCGACCATTGGTTTCCCATCATCATGGTGGGAGAGACCGTCGGGCGTAGTTCAGCCTTCCAAGGCGTGTGCACGACCATCGTGCCACCCGGACCCATAAGCAAACGCGCGACCGAATTTCAACAGGCCTTGCCATAGTAGGTTTGACGCAGTTAGCTGACCTCATTTAGCGGCCTGTGAGAATGTGGTTCCAATACCATGACCCAATAAATACAGTGAGTTTTTGTCATGGTGACATAAATGTTTCGCGTCCTTTAGAGACGGGCCCAGTGCAGTGTCTGCGTCGCGGACCTATGTGTTTTTCTGGAAAAAACAGCGGTGATCTTCGGACTAACAGCACTTCAGCCGCATGGGACGGCAGTGCGACGTGTGTGGCATGGTTACTGACAGGCGAGCAATGTAGATGGTCCGTTTTTCAGGCACCCTTAGGGGACCCTGGCGCCTCAATCCATACAGGCGCTCCTTGGTTGGACATCTACGGGGGCCGTGCACTGCGGCCTGTACCAGCTACCAAACTGCAAATTAACTAGACATCTACGGGGCCGTGCACTGCGGCCTGTACCAGCTACCAAACTGCAAATTAACTAGTGCAGCCTGAAATTGCAGTTCATTTTTCTCCAATAACCCAAAATACCGGTTAACATAAGCCTTCGATGCAAGCTCAGAGTAAACTCGGAGGCTTCAAAACTCCAACCCTCACTCTCTACAAGCACTCGGTGTGAGGGGACTATCAGCAAAGCATCAAAGCACCAAAATACTTCATCAGAGCAATGCGTGCAATTGTGAGAGTTTGTCGATAAGTTTGTTGTGCAGTCTGTGAGGAAGATTTTTTACAGCTATGAATTCACAATTCAGACAATGCGATAAAGTTCCTACACGAAACAGTTCACCTGACGGTCATGTCCATTATTACTCTAAGACTCAAGCGCAGTGAAAGAGTGCTGAATTTTCACCGGGGAAATTTACTCTGCCTTCATAAGGGAAGCTTTTACGGTACATATATATTTCTTTTTCGCTTATGGTTCTCATGATCAAGTCTAGAAACAAAAATTCACAATTCAAATCTAGTGGGGCACCCATCCTGCTGTACAAATAACAGAGAACAGCCGACTGAAATTCCAAAAGCCATTCCGCGCTGTTGTACAGGCTGCGCGGACACTGGTAGCAAAACTGAACAGTCTTATTGGTCTGATAGCCACTTTCATGATTATGGGGTGGTGGAGCGTATCAGTAAACAAAAATCTGAAGCTGTTCTGCGAATCCCGAACGACTTTATAGAATTCAAGGGCTATTTTCTGGTGTAGTGTTCTGTGACAAAATTTTCTGTTCTGATGCATGCCATAAAATCCCTTTCTGTATGTCAATCCGTGGGCTAAAAAGTAGGTTTCACAGGGATATACGCTTCACCCTTATGACCCCAAAAACGATATTATACATATATACATTGCAATACTCATTAGTTGGGTTTCTAGGATGGCACTATAGCTCTATCCGAGAGCTCTATTACGGCGATAAACCATAATCAGAATGTAACATGGCGTGATATCGTATGTAACATATCCGAGTTCACCCAGCCTAACAGTGGGCTGTCCTGCTATGAACCGATGGACGGTCCCAAATTTAACGCCTTTAACAGAGACAGTGTTCTTAAAAGGATGATCAGGACAGTGGTAGGGATGATAGGTCATTGTTATCCGCATGGGATATCAGCATTAAATCTCTTTTCTGCGGGAAGGAAGGCCTAAAAGAGACCTTCAAAGCCTTTTGGGGGTTCACCGGATTAAAAACGGACCATCACTTTATCTTCCAAGCATTCAAGTCTGCAAAAGGACGCCAAAGGACCTCTATAAAAGAATGAGCTGACAACACCGCAAGGATGTAGAAAATCATGATGTAGCTTTTCTATTTGGCAAACTCGTGACGGGAGATGAAAATAAATCTGTGTGTCTTTCAAGTTTGCTTGATAAGTAAATTTTGGTGAGAATTCCTGCTTTCCAAACTGATCATTGTTCATTATCTCAATGGTGAGGCGCAACTCTACCATGATCGGACGTTGATGCCAGAATGCATTGAAACCCTATTGAACCCTATTGAAAACATCATAAAAAAATTTAGCTGGGTTCCAGGTGAGTCTCCCGCAGAACCAAATTTGTTTGCGAATGAGTGTATTTACCTGTTGAACCAACTTTTTCTAGTCACAATGCCAAGTGGTGTGCCGCAGCCAATTGGCTAGGACAGCGTCAATACGTAGTGATGAACGGAGGTGGGGCTGAAGTAAGCTACACTAACACTGTTTTCAAGCCTGAATTTGGCCCACACACCGGTGGTGACCTGACCTGTACAAACCATAAACAACTTGACCCATGCGTTCACAGTTGAAGTGAATCTTATTCATGACTTCACACATACCGGATGAGTGTTATTCTAACAAGAATTAGGACAGAACAATGTATTGAACCCAGCTTGTTCTCATGATAATTCACCAATTCACTTGCTACTTCCGTCCATTTACTTTTGATCTCCGCCTGTTTTGCTCCCCGCCGTTCACCTTGCCTCAAAAGCCGTCCCCTCCAACACTGGCAGTTCTGGCCTATACGCGTGTGAATGTGAGCTGCTGACCTAATTACACATGCGTGTTCGTGTCCCGTTTTCTGAGCCTGCCCTGAGCTGTTCTGCCACGATTCCTGTGTAATCGCACCGCCAAGCAGAAGGGACGACCCCAGCCCACACCACACAGCCGGAATTTGGCCCGCCGTTGTTTGGTCTGAGGACCTTAAAATTGCACTGTGCCGGTCAGACAGAGTTATGCACTTGGTGACGTCACGAATGTGGACAATTGAGTACTATTAAGGTTCCAATACTGAAGCTTAAGTCACGCGTTGGTCTGACGATCCCAAACAATAAAACGATGAATATGATTCAAAGGTCTACGTTTAATAGTTGGGATCGTCAGATCTACGTGTGACCCAAGGTTCTGTATTTGGGACACTGAGACTTTAGGCTTAACAAGCCTCTGGTGTGTGAGCTCGGCTACGGTGCACCTGCCTAGTTATGTGGGCGGTTTTACGTGTGAAAATACTTACCAGAACGCGCTCATGCAGCGGTCTTCGTGGCCCGACATGAGGGCGATTCGTGCATTAAATAACATAATCCTTGTCCAAATGCCTGTCAAGTGGGGATGAATTTGGCTGAAATTCAATGGGTCATTTATCAAAATGTGAAGCTTAATAAGACCCATGTAACTGACTAACGAGGGGGCCCTATTAAGGTCAGTTTCATGTTGAGTTCTATCGTGATGGCTCAGGACATGTGATTTCGGATAGCAAATTGTGGAGTGGTGACCGTCAGATGGGAACGCGAGTGTATACGAAAGACATTGCGTACAAATCTAATAAAAATGACAGCGTAGTCTTCTGTACATCTGAAGGTTTGCCGCAGTCAGCACCGAAGGTACGCAGTTTCCACCCAGAATAACACTAATATACCTGACCAATTAAAGAATCCCGGTGTCCGCTGGTCCCAACAGCCACTCTTGCATCTGATTAACAATATATACCCGTCTTGTGGTACGCTAAACGCGCTGTTATTTAGATTGGAGCAGTACTATCCCGGTCGACCAGTTATCGGCATGAAAGCCAGAATACAAGTGCTTAGATGGCAGGTATAGCCGGACGAATCGTCATCTAGTGGCCCCGACCAAATCATCCGCCCAAAAGCTCCACATCCGTCGGAATCTGAAGGCTAAAGCGTCTGGTTCAGACAAGCCGTCGATTGCGCTATGTCACTCTTGGAATCCCATTCTGACTCGCCAGTGTTTACTTTCTGACATTTGCCTGAGAATTGCAGCCTGGCATCATGATATTGGACCCCCACACCTCCAAGACATTTCCACACACGTAGAAATTTGTCACCCGACGCGGTTGTCAACTGGCCTATCGTGTGCCCATTAACCGAAAGCAGATCAGCCCAGGTAACTACGCCACCACTCAGACCCAATACCACCAAAAACGGAAAGATGCAACGTCTTTTATGCTCGGTGGGTCGTGGAAGGACCAATACAAAGGTCACTTCAGTCTATCTCTGGACAGTATCGGAAGCAGATGCTATGTGCACCAACACAAGTGGGTAGCTGGCCATGTAGTGCAGTGATTCCATGCGACTGGAGTTCGATCGAGCCAATCACAGATGAGGAAGTCGGCGATAATATCCGTCCATTATTATCTGGGGGTTGTACACTATATTTATGCTTTCCTCGTATTACTCTATTTTCAAAGGCCACAAATCCGACTTCACTGACCCAACTGAGAGCGATTTACATGTCATCCATTCTTGTTCGATTCTTCATGAAGTGCTTGTTGATCGCTGAAGCCGTAAATTGCAATTGCTTCCAATTCGGTTTGTATTTCTTCGTCTTCGCTGTTTGGAAGCTGATCGCTAATACACACCCTGCTTTATCACTCTTCAGCGACAGCTGGTGTTTGTTGATACTCGAAAGCATTTGATTCGGTTTTGCATGGTATCACTGTCAGGTTTGCCGAGGCATTTAAAGCATCGTTACCTCTGGTTAGATGCAACACGCAATCCTGTGAGAACACTGTAGCGGGTGCCTATAGTTCCAAGGCACATTGCCACAGAGGTGTGAGTCAGGGACATCCACTCTCCCATGTTTTTATCACAGCAATGGATGAGGTTCACTGATTATCAATGCTGCAGTTAAGATACCAGTTCCGTGACATCTTAAAGGATGGTTTTGCCTTCACTGACAACTTGGTCGTGTGTGCAGAAAGTCAGGCTCACCTTAAAATGTAGCTTCAAGTTGCTGCTGTTGAGCTGGGGAGAACTGGTATGATAACCAACTCCCGAAAGATGGTGATTTGTGGCGACTGAAGGCATCAAACTACCACAGTCTCAGTCGAACCTTGTTGCTTGCAAGAGGAACTCATCAATCCGCCGAGTCCGACAGAAATCGTGACATATTTGGACGCTCCCTTTACTTTCAAATGGGGAGAAGTTTTCAGCCACCAACAGCATCTACTGAAACTGCTCGAAGAGGTGACGCGCGTCCCTATGAAGCTACATCGCAAGCAAACACCTGATACCGAGGCTGAAATATTCGCTCAAGCTGGGCCACGTCCACGGAAACACGCTCAAGAGGTTGAACAATTACATCAGGTGATCTATTCCTGACTGGGTAGGTCCATCGAACGACAATCCGATCAGCTAAATCCACGCCGGTAAACAAAATGGAAGTCTTGGTGTTCCAAGTCTGATTTCAACCACCCCAAGGCAGAGGAAAGCGCGTATGGAAAAGCCTATCTCTCCTCAGTGCCGCGTGCTACGCAATTTGGTGGTTTTGCATTTCGCAAGGTTTTTCAGGATCTCAGCCTTCGGACCCGAATTCAAGTTGCTTGCGTGATCACCAAGGAAGAGTTGGGCTGTTTGAGACGATATTCTGCACAATGTTGGCGGCGGCAGTTTTCGAGAGTTGGTCGCTTTGCCACACTCTAATCGATGACTTGTGTTTCCTGAGCCTGTGTTTCCTCGGACATTTATCCGCGGTATCCAGCTCCGGTGCAACCTGCTTAAGAAGATAGTTAGCAGTTTTTGGCGTCATCCTGGTGGCCAGCCTATCTTTTGTCGAGAGAACTGTCGACAGTCCTGCTGGATCGCTCATGATGCGAGATGTGCTCGTCATAATCGGGTTGCAAGGGAACTCGCGGAACGTCCTCGCCACCTGGGATACACCGTATTCGAGAAGTCGAGAGCACCCACGTCTACGTCTTTAATCAAGCCTTATCTAATCGCTATTCGATAGCTCCGAACAACTGTGACAGACGTAATCATGGTCTCGGATGAGCGTGCATTGACTGCTTTGAGTAAGAAGAAGCAGAAGTGTTCAATCGTGCAATCGACTATGACATTGACTTTTTGGTTCAGTACCTGATGATCATTTCATATCGACGGATCCGTTTTCCCCAACCCGCCAAAGCTGTTGTTGTATGGGTACTTCGTAAGGTCACAGTCAGTTACTTGTGTTTGCTCGCCACTTTGGGCTCTCTACTTACTTACAACTCTTCTATGCGTGGTACATGGCGCTGAGTGTTCATTCTTACCATTTACTTTCACACTTAACCCAGTATGATGGAGACTTTGTGCCTGATGTGCACGTGTTGACCGTGCTAGCGCTTACTGCGCCCTGAGCAGCATTCAGCACTGTTTGTCCCTTCTTCAGTTACTGGTTAGTTGCTGTGTTTCCGTACGAACCATCCTTACATAAGTTAGAAATCATTTTGTCTGACTGGAACTATTGGTAGCAAATCTTCAAATGGAATTTTCCCCTCCGTTTATCTAACATTCACCTTCACATCCCTCGGACTAACTTTTCATGTTTTTTTTTACCATGCACTTCAAAACAAACGATAACAACAGCAGTAGTGATCATTGACGATTACGGTTGGCAAGTTACAGTAGATTGAGGCAGAACATTAATTTCCGGTTGTCCTTTTATTGTGCTGCCATACCGAAGAAGCCCAATCCACAATTTCATCCAAACAACTATTTCAACAGAGCTATGTATATTTCTGTGGATAATTGCGCTCAAAGCCGCCGAGGGTGCTTCAGTTCACGGAGCACTCAAGAGGATGCACACAGTACTCAAAATCAGCAAATTAGTGGGCAGGCACCCTAGTCCCTTCTCTTAGTATGCAGTTATGTTACTGGATTCTTGTCAGTTATTTTGCCACGTTATCAGTAGGTGAGTCTCACGTGTATTTTCGAACCAGTAATACTATCCATCTTCATCAAGTCAACGGATGGAAGTTCTTCTATAGCATGTCTATATTAGTACAGTTATCCTCGGGACAGGTAATGAATGCACACTGATGGAACCAAACTTGAAACACAAACTTACCATATGGAGGATTCTTGCTTACACTCTGGCACCACATCATCGATCGGCGATATTCAAATTATCCACACACAGAGTGAACAAAACATTCCGGCAACGTATAAACGAAATAACCCAGATGAAAATCCCATGGAGCTGGGCTTGTCTGGCTTTTTTTCTTGTTACCAGTCAGTGTAAAACGCATCACATGGTTTGGCTGCCCGCCGGAAAATTGGTTTCTCTCCCATGTAAACTGCGACAGCTCCATAAACGGGAATCTCCTGAGTGGTGGGTTCGAGAGAACCGGGAACTGGATACAAATTTTACTTCCAACTCCATTGCGGCATGGTATGATCGTCTTGGGAACCTACTCCATGTGGGTGAGATTCTGTTGATTCATGTCCCTCCATTTGAAGCTAGCGAACTATCTGTGACTCAGTATGCGGCACGACCCACTCCTCCAACGGAGAAACCGATGAGTCTGATGCCAGAGTATAGGAGTTGGATCGGTGGAACCAACCAAATTCTAAAGGTTAGACACATGGATTCTGTCACATGCAGTGAACTTCAAACTAGCACAGTTATCGGATATCGAGACCCTTGGAAAGTAATCGAACGAAAAAGCCGAATCGGGAGGCAGGTTTTTTTTACATTCATGATCTATGTGCAACCGATAATCATTTGGAACTACGCAGTTCCACCGGAGATTGAGTTCGAAAACAGAAGCGTACTGCTTAAACCAGTCACAAATTGGTGTTACAAGCAACGCTCCATAAAAAGACATGTTGCTCGGGCATGCAGCGGCATTTATGAACATCGCAGACCCTTCGTTAAACTTTCTGGCCTCAAAGAACGTATGCCACTAGTTCAGTCGACCGCCTTAGGGTACACAGAGCTTGGTGTGCAAATAGAATTGTCTGTGTCACCTTTGAGTCTTTTGGCCGATCCGACAAACGGAGAATTGAGTTATCTACATGCCCACCTAAAACACAGTTTGGATATGTACCTTTTAGAGGATTTAGAAAATCAACTGAACCTTGAAGATCCCTTCGAGTCGACCATAGTGGCAACCCGTTTGAGTGTTATCTGTCCTCCTGGAACTTTCACATTCACAACCAAACCGGTATTACGCGGTCTCAATTTCGAAAGCCTATTGAATTCAAGCTTCAAGGACAGCTCAGCAGAAGCACTCCTACCATACAAGTTGATTTGTCACCCCTGTCCTGATGGCACAGCATCCCGTGCACCATACACATATGATGATGGCTGCTATAAATGTCCACGGGGATATTATCGGGGTAGCACCGGATGGCCAAGCAGCGCTGGTTGTTTAAGATGCCCAGAGGGGTTTACGACGGACACTGTTGGAGCCACCTCTATTGGGGAGTGTAAACTAAACGCAGGAGCTATCACCAGATGGATACTCAGTCAGCTGCTTCAGATGTGGTTCTCGTTGGAGCAAATAATTGCTGGGAAATCTGGACCAGAGACTCCGACAAGAGCGCTGCCTTTTGATCAGCAATCTGCATGGGCATGGTTGGGCAGATTAGATAGGTCAGTGTGGATATGTGCCGGTGTGTATTGCCTGGTGGTAATGTGGCTTACCGGTATGGCCGTCTACCGACTCCACCTTTATTTCAGGCTCCAAAGCATATTCAAAAAGCAGTACAGGCTACTCTTGAAAGCAGTACTGATTGGACAAATTAATTTGGTTTCTCACATAAAAATGCGCGCTAAACAGAGCGTCAAAGCGGACCCAAATGACCCGTTTACGGTAGGAGCGCCCACTGAAATGACTGGAGCTGGAGAGTAATAACTCATTGCGATTTTGTAAAGTGCCGTTCCGAATTCCTTCCGAAATCGAAGAAGTTATTATTCATTGATAAATGTGTCTTCGGTACCTTCAGACTACCAGCTACATAGCACTGACTAGGGTGAAGCTAGCTGAATTTTCTTTGCCCATGACCACAAAATGTGGTATATCGATAACCTGAAAAGAGTGCTAGGAATCATGCTAACATGGTTGGAAACGAATTCATATCGTTTCATGAATATCTCTCTACATGAGTTTGAAGATCATTAGTGGCCAAAGAAAAAACCCTGGTGAAAAATAGGTTCCTCCACTTTATCCACAATCATTGTCAGCAACTGCGGCAACAGGAAAAAACAACGGTAATGACACTGATAGCAGCGTAAGGTAATGGTGCAGTTACCAAACTACCTTAAAGTGGGGCAGGATGCAATTTCCCGTCGAACACAGACATCCGTACTTGTGCGCTTAAAAAAGTCTCAGATAAGTCATCTGATGAGAATCGAGGGCAGGAATCTACTGAAATTGATCTGCAGCCACATCCGTCGGAATTCCCAAACAATGGGCTCACGAGAACTTGATTCACTTAGGTAGCTGTTGTCATCTCTAACCTTTTCTGCAAATTCATCCATCTTTGTGCACAGTTGCCAGTAGACATCGAAAAAAAGCATTCTCTTAGGTTGAAACCCACTACATGATAAGTACTTAATCAGAAAGTTCGTGCTAGTGGATGCATTTGCCAGCATTGGCTTACTTACTTGGCCTACACTTTTGAGTCGCTTTTATCCATAGAAAAATCCATCAGTATTGTGCCAACTGAACTTTCAATGCAGCTTGCAGAGGGAGGGGTGGCGAACATGCGCCAGTGACGCTTCATTTCATTAGAGTGATACGTCAGACAACAGGCGTCCACACACGTACACACACACATTGAATTGCGAAAGTACGCCCACACCGCATTTATCCTAAATGTATTAGGGTATAGGAAAGACGCATATCATCTTGCTGGGTACGCGAACGTGATCAGGTCAGTGTGGTGGTATGGATCAGGCCCTCACTTGCCCAGGAAAGATGTGCCCCTATCACGTAAAGTTCGGTCCGGCAAAAAGCTCTGTACCTACTGGGATTCAGCAAGTTCATCCAACAACTCATCGCTCCTACGCAGCGTCCCCTGCCTCACGCGCTGCTACGAACGTTCAGTAACATCATCTCAGCGGACTGCACATATGTTAGGGAAATTTGAAAATATATCTGACTATTTACTTTGGTTGACCATTTCCGTGAAGACATGTAGTTACCCTGCCTTACTTAGAGGTCACCGACCCGAGCCCGTCATGCATTCACTTGGATCATATGGAGGAGAGCCTCAGTTAGAGATTAACGTTTCTCTGCGGTATACAACCCAATTAGATCTCTCCATTGTGCGGGCCTGGTTGCTTACTCGATTTCGCTCAGGACACATGACCATGAGGGGGTAACCGGCCCGTCAACTCCAACAGGTTTCTGCAGCTGAAAATTATTGTGACAATCTGGGGAGCTGTTGGAAGGGTTTGTGCTGAAGAATGGTTGGAGGGTGAATGGAAGATGATGGAAAAAGCCATGCTGTCAACATTCAAAGTTGTCTGCTCATGCCATCTGACTCGACAGGGTGACTTTTCCTGACCTAAATCATCAGCAAAAATGGATAGGCACTTCTCTCAGCCGAAATTATCGTAATTACTAGGAATGATCACTAAAAAACGACGTCGGTAATTCATTGGATAACACAAATTCTAGGATATGTTTTTGTCCACATTTGAGGTTTTCTGTACCCACGCACCTATGACTGTTGACCTTGAGCTGTGTTCCGCTCCACTTGCCAAGGTTGGATTCTTCAGGCCTCGGGTGTGGTGTTCAGGATTGATATTTACGGAAGCACCCGGATCCAAATGTAGCTCACGTTAGCAGAGTTTCGTTGACCATTTGTTCCTTCTTCCATTGCTACTACATCTCGCCCCCATCAGTTCCACAACAGTTGGTCAACGCCTACACCTACAGTGAAGTCGCCTGCCAGATTTGAAGCATCTTTTCAGTCATCCTCTAAGTCGGACACAAAAGCTGCGACCAGCTAGGTTGTTTTTCATGACAGCCTTTAGGTTCGTTAGAGAGGGATGAGGGTAATTTACAGCAGTGGCCTCATTGTCGAATATTTCGACACGCTAGTTGGAGAATGGGTAACGGTATTTGAGATACCTATTTGTAATCCCTTTCTCATGAACCGCTAAAGCGGTTAGGTTATACTTCCTTTCATGCAGTTCCGAAAATTGCATGACTTAGCTAGGTGCTTCGAGGTTAGTGCACATTGACCGATGGCTTCCTTTGGTGTCTGGGTGGGTGATAAATCTGGAACCAATCAAATGTTTAATTTACTTGACATAGAGGATTGCCGCGCCTCTTTGTTTCCATTATTCATTAGCGGAATGTGGATAGATCCAGCGCCTTCTCCAACCAAAACATTGTTTATTGACGTTCTTTTACTCCGCGTTGAACGCACTCAGAATCATAAAGCTTTCATATCCTTCTCTCTGAAGTTTCCAGTTCTCCGAAAATTAATTTTGGTAGGTATCTTCATTGACGAGAGTCACTAGCCCCCAGCCAATGAATGGATTACCATAACAAATTATGTGGCTTATTCACAGCTAGAATTCCATTTAGTTCACTTAGTCATTTAGTCCAAACGCCTCTAAATAACCGAGCCAAAAACCTGTCTTCCTATATGGACGAGCCTCTCGCCCAAAGTAGAATTCTGCTTAATGCATTTGAGCTGCTTTCTGTTCAGCACAGTAGTTTCGCAAGGTTTGCTAGGGTTCATCAACGTCACACCAGTTAACTTTTATGTATAAGCTACGGTTAAGGCTATCGCCAATTTCGAGTGCGCACATACAGTGCCTCAACAATATATGCCGGAGACCAGTAGCCGATAGCGACTCCATGAGCAGCCACGAGTCAGATCAAAGCGGTGATCAAATTACAGGGTCTTCAAGGGACAAGTGTATCCGGAGGCCAAATTGTTTAAACGACCGAATATCACGTCGATTGGACGGGTGTGTCACGTGCAGACTATCAGCCAAACGAAGCCACGCCCTGATTGGCCAGAATCAGCCAATCAGGATTGAGCGTGTGCACCTCGAAGCTTCGCGCCCGCTCACGGAGACCTCAGCGTGACATTGTGGAGCAACCTGTGATAACCCTATAGATGCGGTTGTCATAATTTTTTTATCTCCACGTGAGACTTTCTCAAGCCATCATGTTTTCTAGTATACCATGAGGTTTGTAATACCGTTTACATGTGACGACAATAAATTCAGAAAATAGGGAATACATAAGATTCCTAAGACTGATGCTGGTTGGTTTTTCACATCATGCTATTCGCAAACAAGCGTATTTCGTAGATATCATAAAATATGAACGATGCTCTTACAGCAGATTGTTACACGTGTCCACTGGTAATCCCAATAGTTTTACTATGTTTGGTCCTCGCTCGACTTTATTTCTAAACCCCACCAAGGGCAGGTTTCAGGAACATCGAAAAAATCTTAGTTTGTCTCACTTCTGTTTCGTCCAATATGTGTAATTACAATGGTCTTCTGGTAACTCAGCGGAGATTCAACAGCTTGTCAGGTTTCGTTCAAAAACTTACTGGAATATTTTCAGTCAAGATTATTTCAACCAATCGCGCTTGTAACATTTCGAAAAGTTCAAAGTTTATGCACCCAAACGTGTGTGAACCTCATGTATTCTGCAAGATCCAAAAGCTGCAGTCAGGAATGACTGTAGTGAATCGTTCAAGTACGGAATTTATTCCCTGCTATTTTGAGTCTGTAAGCCCCAATGGATAAAGACGAAATTTCGAGTAAATTTTAGAAATATTTTTAGATGTCAAAATTTCCACTACAAATATTTACTCTCAGAATTGTGAGTATTGAAGTTCACTCTGTGGCAGAAGTGATCACATAGATATCCTACTCATAAAGAGTTGCAAATTCGTTGAAGTCGGCTGTTCTCATTGAAATCAAAGAACCGGGATTCGTGGACATTTAATATTTTCAGCGGTCTCGTGACCTCCAGTAGTGACTTCATGCAGTTTAGCGCACTGCTTTGTGAGAGTTTCCCGACGACCTCTCTTCGCTACAGAGGCCTCGGATGGCGAGTGGAAGAGTAAAACTACCTCTGCAACACACAGTTTAATAACAGTAAGTTCATCTTTGAATTACACTGAATGGCACTCAAACCCTACATATGTAGGATTCCTTTGAAGAAATTCCATTACAGGAGAATCCTCCTTGGCTTCATTGCAGCTTGCACTAAAGGACCCACTTCTAAACGAACGATCAAGTATAATCCATCTTTGCGATAAGTAAAACAGAGTAATTATGGTAATACATACATGGGAAAGTGTTGGTAGACCGAAGAAGACTTCTATCTGGTTTGGAATCCTGAGAGTTCAGCCCATCAATTTACAGTGCGACAGGTGGAAAGCAAACCTGGTTGTCGGATTACTTTCTACCTCAACGGCTGTGATAATCCATCTGTGTATGGAGTTCTTGGAGCGACTCTCGCTTGCAGATGATTTCGACTTAGTGAACAAAACCGAAAACGACCAAAGAATCAAACAGTCAAAAAAGTGGTGCCAGTGTAAGTTAAGCTCACAGCCACGCGTGGCTGAACGGTATGATTTTCAACTGTTGTCTGGGAGGTTACGGGTTCAAATTTCCCTGAAGATTTTTGAGATGCACACTGATAATGAGTAAGGATAAGGAAGGAACAGCCACATAGTATCTCCTAGCTCCCAGTCACGTGACCCATTGGAGAGAAGCTACAAGCTCTGGTCTCGGAAGCGCACGTAATTGGCCATCATTCTCATATTTAGGTGAATTCTTTGTAAGTGCTACAATCATGTGTGGGCTTTGTCTAATGCTAAACACGAGTTGGCGATCTCCTTTAGACCAGCTTTGAGTTTTTAAAACTAGAAGTAATCACCAGCGAAATGTACTCATTTGCATTCCAATTTGGCGTTTACGGTGACTCACTTGAAATCCAACCGAATACCTCGTTTATGTTCTGCTTCTACTTAGTGTACTGCACCAGGCCGCCTCATGTTTCAGTCTGTAAGCTGTTTAATTAAATAAGAACATTAATGAAAGATTCAGCTGGGTTTCAAGTGAATAACTATGAAAACCAGATTGGTATGCAAATAAGTGTATTTGTCGCATGTCTACACTGTTTCATTCCGTATTCGCAACCCAATTTGTTGTGCGCTATCTCATCATGCAGAGTAAACCCAACTTTATCACATATTATTATTAGATGCCCTAGAAGTTGTGCGACAGAATAGCCATGTGAGTTACTGGGCCTCAAAAACCCATCAATTCTTCCTCCGAGCTAACCAGTGCAGGCGCACCGACTCTTTCAGCTGTTCAGTTGGTGCTTCGAAGTCAGAACTGAGACTCTATTATCCTAAACCTCGATCTTACGCTCCCATGTATTTCACGGATACTCTTTAACTGGGAGACGCACAAACACTGACTTCTTGTCAATGACAGATAAGTGGATGGTGCACACAATGCCTACTGGGATAGTTCAACAAGGGATCGAACAATCGCGCGCAGTACCGCATAACCTGGGTATCCTGCTAAATTATATAGGTTGTCACACTTTGTGTTGTATCAGTATCTAGCTTATATACTCCATCAAATGTCGGAAAGCAGTCGGGTGAAATGACCAGCAATGGCCCAGTGGCGTTAGTTGGAACAATTTACTGTAGAATATAGTGGATATGATTTGGCATTTTCGAATGTTCGTGAATCAGTCTGACAGGTTCAAAGAAAACCATCAGTGATCCAGTTGAATAAAGCAAACAACCCGTATGTCGAACCACTGATAAGTCGGGTGCGTTTGTTAGTTGTTGGCTTATCTATTCATCGAGTTTGACAATTGGCTTCCAGAAGTTTTCGTCACAATCAAGTGGATGCCAACAATTGCATGTTGATGGAGTCTCCCTAACTAGTGGCAGTTTGTTTGCAAACCAATTGCAAAGCACGGTGAACTGGTCAAGAGCCACCTGATTAATGACCGGAACAAACAACCAGATGTACATTCGAATTCATATGGAGGGTTGTAATATACTTTCTTATGCAATCCAATTGTGAACGGTCCGTGCATATATCTTGTGGACAGTACCGGAGCTACAGCGTGCAGGCGGGTACAGGTGATTAAAAACTTAATATTTTCGGATTTTTTTCTACGCAGTGCATGTCAGTGCACTGATCCAGCGAAAATTCTTAAGAGATTATTCGATTTTTCGTCAAATTTCGATTCGAAAATTCGAGTACTGATGAGTTCGAAGCAAAATTTCCAATTAATCTTCTAAGATAGCCAATAGGGTCTCAAGTCCCATATCTAATAATGCATAAGTCTGATATTTACTTCACAGTCAATTCAAGTTAGTCCTTAACTTGTGTTGCAGTCAGAAATAACCGCATCAGGTCGTAATCGTACTGCATTTTTGCTGTGTTCTTGCGGCTGAGCATGGCAACTCATAATGAAGGAATTTTTCACACATGTTGTAAACATTTCATCACGAAATGTCAATTCTTTGCTGCAACTGTTTGGTACAGACTGCAGGAAAAATAACTCAATGATTATTTCACTGTTCAGCATGTCCCCGTTTTTGTGTACCACGATTTGTTCGCTCATTTGAGGAGACACATTTAGGTTGTACTTCCAAGTTTTGATTACATTATATTTACATCATGTAGGAAAGCCTTTTTTCATTGTTCCATCAGCCAAGAATTGAAGTGGATCACAATGGGAAAGGAGATTATACCTTGCCGCGTAACGATAACAAGTGAATAGATGGGACAAGAAGGATCGTCGCAAAATAAACAGATGGATCCATCGTAAAACCGTGCCTCAAAACCATATTACTTCCAAAGCTGTGATTTTCATGTGCACGCACATGCTGGGGTAGTAGATAATAACCAAATCGATCGTCTGTCATTCGAATTGTGCCATTGTACAACTGAATCGTTCTAAAGTCTTGGACTAGTGTAGCAGGACTACAAAGGTGTATATGGGAACTCAATGGGTCCTTCTGTGTGCTACTTATCTTATCGTAGTATGCCAATGTAAAATACATCATACGGTCTGGTTACCTGCAGGAAAACAGATTTCTCTCCCATGCAAACTTCGAGCCCTGAAGAAACATGAATCACTTGAACGATGGGTAGAGCAAAACGAGGAACTTGAAGTCAACTTCAGTGCCAACTCAATCGCAGCGTGGTATGATCGTCTCGGTAGACTGATACATGTTGGGGAAATTCTGCTAGTCCACGTGGCCAAGTTTGAAGCTAGTGAGATATCGGTTACCCAGTACGTGCAACGTGAGACACCACCAAATGCAAAACAGATGAGCCTCATCCCAGAATTCAGAGGCTGGATTGGAGGAGCCAACCAGCTACTGCAAGTCAACCATATTGACTCGGTTACCTGCATCGAACTGCAGACCAGCACTGTGATCGGCTCCCGTAAGCCCTGGAAGGTGTTCCAGAGAAAAAATAGGGTCGGAAGGGAGGTGGTTTTCACATTCAAAATCTACGTACAACCAATAATCGTATGGGAGTATGCGATTCCATCAGAGATTCTAATGGGGAACGCGAGCGTGATGCCTAGGTTGGTGGAGGAATGGTGTCAAGATCAACGACTTTACGGGAGACAGTTTCACCAGACATGTGAAGGCATATACCAAAGACGCAAAACTTTTCCTCAACAAACACAGTTCGGGACGTCAAACATTTCAAGTACTATTGAATTTCTTGAAATAGGTGTTGGAATTAACCTGTCTGCTCGGCTGCTGCAGGTTTTGGCAAATCCGACCAGCAAAGAATTGGGTTATTTACATGCACGCTTGCAACACAGCTTGAATATGTATATTCTAGAGGGTTTGCAGGATTATATCCAAGACGAAGACTTAGCACAAAAACTGGTAGTGGCAACGCGTACTCAATATCTTTGTCCCCCAGGAAGTTCCACTTTGCGGCGCAAACCAGTGGTTATTAACCTCACATTTGATAGGTTGATGAATCGAACTCTGGAAACAAGTTCAGCCTCCGTACTAATCGACAACAAACTTCTGTGTTATCCTTGTCCTGACGGGAAAGCAACCACGGCATACACGTTCAACGAAGAATGTAGTAGGTGTCCTCGTGGATACTACAGAGGAGAAACTGGTTGGCCTAGTAGCGCCGGCTGTTTAAGATGTCCCGAGGGGTTTACTACTGACGGAGTTGGGGAAAAGTCAATTGAGGACTGTCAACCGAATGCGGGTGCTCTGACAAGATCGATCCTACACTACGTGCTACATTTGTTGTTCACACTAGAGAAAATAATAGCAGGAGAAACTGGTCCTGACACCCAAACAAGGTCACTAGCACTTGAGCAAAGATCTGCATGGGCGTGGCTCGGCAGAATAAGTAAAAAAGTCTGGATATACTGTGCCATCTATTGCCTCCTCTCATCCTATCTTGCCGCTAAGGCTATCCACCGACTGCATGTGTACTTAAGATTGAAAGCCCTAATTAGAAAACAATACGAACTCCTCTTGAAAGCCACAATAATTGGACAGATTAATATGGTTTCACACATAAAACAGCGCATGAAGCAGGATATCAAAGAGGACTCAACTGAGACACTTGCACATGTTGAAGTATCCGGGGTCGGAGAATCAATACAGAGGGAGAGAATGAAGAAATCTTGGAGGTTTCCTTTTAGGAATTGAAAGAAAGTGTCATGTAAAGTGTAAAACTCCTCCACAAAGGAACTGATATCCGTAAATAAAAGATTATGGACATCATTGCTCAATTCAGCACAACAAATCAGCAAAGAGTGCAATTAAAGGGGGAGATGGGAAAGTTCCTGCTTAGATAAGCACCAAGGGGCTACCGATGGTCATGAGCATACTGAGACTGTAATCTGCAGTCAACCACCCTGTAGCATGAAAGTAGAGTCGCTGACATTTTCATAGTTCTCGAAAAAAACCACCGAGCTCTAGAAAAATTCACGCACTTTGATTGAACATATGGCTAATAGAGGGATACAATTAACCGGTGTTGGCAATAAGCATTCGAACCACACACCATATGAGGATTAGTCATACATACGTTGAAGAACTTACGTAGCTTTGAATGCCTCAGTAACGTCACAACGAACAACGTTCACAAACTTCTTCGCATTTGTCTTTTGAAAACCAACACCAGATTTTCCGCCACTACTTGGACAATATTAGACGTGGCCCATTCACGCCCTCAATGATGCTCGCGCATCCAAGCTCTTGCCTTCAATACCTAACTCCTTTCCCAATCCCCCCACTTAAAAGTCCACTGACAAACCTGTATTTACGCACAAAATCCGCCTCAAATGCGCAGCTAGCCCCTACCTCCCCAAATCATCGATGGACTAAATTGTGGCAGCTACAACCACTGTAGGACAAGTGCGCGGTTCTTACAGCTGATAATGATGATGATTCATACGAAAGGATTATCGTTACATTATGGGAATCATGTGGAACATCTTCAATCCCCCATAGTGTAGTGGAAAGTGGGTAACAGGTCAAAAAGTTCGTTGTGAAGTGTCGATCCTAACAGCGTAGATGGCCTCTCAAGCAAACCGCTGTAGCCTGTTGCGCTTCCACTTTCTACCTGGTTCACGGTCAAGTACAGTCCTGCTACTGTCAGAATGTCATGAAGGTAGGTCTTTGTTGTATTTTGCCAAGTTATCTAACTTCGAGTCACCTGTCCTGGCAAATTGGGCAGCCTGAAAGGCGATCCAGGATCCGACTAGACATCTGCTCTTGTCTTGGCTCACTTGGATCAATAGCCCCAGTTTCGGAGAATTCGTATTCGAACCTGCTGGCTGATATATGCGCTTTAGACTTCGTAATCCACTAAATTATGAATTGTGGCATCGCAAAATTTCGATGCAGCACCCTAGTTCCTCACTATCCTTCCCAATGCGAATCTGATCAGACCCAACATTTAACCCCAGAATTCGTCCTTTTCCTTGTCTGAAAGCGATATTGGGAGTGCTCTTAAATTCCTACCAAAATGCATCAACTCACGAATGAACTCCCAAGGCAGCGTGCATCAGTGATAATTGGTCAGGTGGCTGTTTGTTTGTTCGCTGAGTTTGGCAACTGACTTGCAGACGTTTCTTCACCATTCGAGGAGGCATCATCATTGCGTTGTTGGCGACAAAACCCCTGCCAAGCTCAGAAAACGGAGCAACAGCCACCTGATCAACCAACAATGAATACACCCGAGCTAGCAATATCCCAACACATTACCAACAGCTTTCAAATAAAATACGGTTGTACGGCAGTAAAGCATCAGTGTTCAACACTGATGTCATGCTGTCGATGTAGTGTAGTAGTAGTGTACCAACAGCATGCAGTTGCGTTTGAGAGTGTCTGCCAACCCAGTGTCTCACTTTGAAGAAGAAAGAAGTGGGTTTTACATTTGACTTCCGAATGTCATGAAGTCAATACTAGCCACCGATGGCAGGAACTCAATGCACGAAGCGGTCAAGATTAAGACTCAAATCAACGAACGACGATAACCAGTCGTTTGGCTGGGGTTAGCGCTGTAACTAACTGCCCCTAACAAATGGCATACTCCAGAAAAAACCTTCGTAGCCCAGTGGATATAGGCAACTTGTTAGCCATGTGGCTACCCGATAAAGATACTTCAGACATGTTCTAGTCGAAGTAAGGTATGGTGTTGAATTAGACAGGCCATTCCTTGACACGGGCAAAGGATCACGTCACACCGAGAAAAAGGCACCATCGCGGAACAGGAGAAAAGCCTATGGAGATGGATGTGGGCAGGCTGCTGAACTTCGTAACCACTACAAAGCTCTGGGAAATGCAATGCAAGAGACTCTCAGAAACAACGCTTGCGTGTACACAAAAGTGAAAAGTCAGGTGGATCTATTAATTAGGGAGCGTCTGTAGACAGAAAATCACGTGTCCATAATGCTCCAGAGCCAAACTGTACAAGATTGTACATAGTCGCGACATCGCCCAAAATGGGGACAGTTGGATTCGATGGCTGAAGTAAAGGTTGAGACGCCGTGGGAGCCAACTCGGGTGCACCGGATACAACTGTAAACAAGGATAAACAAGAATGAAGTTCGAATCAGAGACTATAGGCGAAAAACGCGGAAGTAACAACGGCAATCTAACGTTCAGTTGTGGCCGCTCCAACAAGGGTATCTTGGGGGATGCATGACGGAATACAATTATAGCAACGGATCAAGGCTGTTCACATCGACTATACAGTCAGTACAATGAGAACTGTGCAGTGTACGAATCGTCACTTACGCACGCAAGAACACCTGTTGTTACGACACAGTGAGATAAAGAACCAGGCTAGTCATCTATGATTATTTAGCCTGATATACGTCCAAATTTGTATGAAGCTAGAAGTAAATCACGCGCCTGGCTAAATAAATCAGACTAGGTGAATTCCACCACCGTGGTTCCGTAACCCACTGACCTCTGTGGCATTTTCTCTCTCTAAACTTGGATGAGCCGGACGAAATCCAGACGGAACAGGCTACTCATAAAGATGTCAAAACTTTTCGACCGGTGTCACCTCTTTTGAGGATCCTTATGCTGGTGCGAATGAGTGTACTTCGTGAATTGCATTGCGAATCCAGGAATACTAGAACTGTGGGCCGCTTATACGTATGGCGTTGTTCTAGCACCTGACGGAGTGTGAAGATTTAATCGATGCAACCCCTACCAGGTTGGAATCCCACTTGCTCCTCTCGAGTCAGTGTCTCACGAGCTATCGTAAGGCGACGAAGCACAATGGACGTCAACAATCTCGTTACGACCGGGGTCAAGCTGATCCCTCTGTGGTTACCACACTCAATGCGTGTCCCTTTTTTGAAATGGGCACTATCACTGACTCCCTCAGTTGTCTGGGACAGATTCCTTTTGCCAAATGCAAGCAAACAGATCGGACAAGCGTTGAACCATGCAAGTGGGAGGTCATTCACACAAGAGGTCGGTGGCGCTTGAGAGAACACATGCAGTCGTAAACCTCCGAGGCCGTAGGTGGTTCCACGTTCACCGTCCAGGGTTCTACTTCACCTGTGGGCTCTAGGTGAGTGCCAGCTGGTGGCCACGACAGTTGTTCAAAGTATTCAGCCCACCGGTCGAGGCGTTCTTCTTTATTCGAGATGGCCCTCCCATCCTGATGCTTGACGGTTTCGCTTACAAACTGAGGTTACAGAAGGCGACCCCAACCTAACTACCATAGTGATCACTCATGTTGCCAGAAACAGAGCTGTATCCGAACACTGTTCAAGAGGACCGAAACACTGCAGCACCACATAAAACATAGTCAAAGAGAAAATCTATAAAAAGATAAATTTGCGCGAGAAATTTTAACTGGAAATCTCTGAAACAAGGACGCAAGTCGACCAACTCAACCACATAAGGAGAACGCAAAAGAATCGTTCTCCCCTGCATCAAGAATATTTCCGACTATAAGAGTGTTACTATATTAGAATATACAGGGTAGCCTGCAAGCCTGGAAACACGAAAAATAAAACAGTTGAACCAAAAAAAGAAACTGGAAATCACGAAGAAAGTCAAAGTTATCCACAAAATTCAACGCATTTTTTGCGACGAACACCAGTTGGGACAAAGAGGAAAGAAGCTACCCACAAGACTACAGGAAAACTGACGCGCTGTTAAAAGGCACGATTAATTCTTAGTCACTCCTGTACAGTGAGATCGAGAATAATACAAATTCAGCTGGGACCAAGTCCACACACTAGTCGGAGCAAGAACAAAGATGAAACGTGAATTTATGAAGGCGTGGCAATCAGCCAAGAAATCCATCAACAAACATATGAGGAACGACCTAATCTATCGACCTTTGAGGACGAAAGAACTCAGAATCGCACAGAAAACCTGAGAAGAAACCAATAGGGAATGTTGAAAGAACGCGACAATGGACGGATAACACCAAACCGAAATCCGGACAAGGATAACAAATAAGAAGGCTACACAACGCTAACAAGACATAATAGTGCAACGAGAACCCCAACGAAACGAAATTTGAAGGCAGATGAATCAAGTCACAGGAGATTGATAAAAATAGAGGGAGTCCAAGTGATCGATCGGATTGGAGGAAGGCAGACCAAACCGCAAGTGAGAGTAGACGCGAATGAGCCGGTCGGGACGAAGGGACAGAACTAAATAGATGAAGACATCCAACGAACCCATCAAATATGAGTAAATCATACCACAACGCGACATCCCAGTGAAGATCTCAACAACCAGTCAAGTTATATGTATCAAATACACATCGAAAAGCATATAAACGCAAATAGAGCTAGAGGAAATACGGTGACGAAACGTCACTTACTTATCAAGCAGACCAGGTGCCATTCTAACGAAACCAAACTAGCAATAGTTCGACATGTTGTCAGTACCTACCAATTTATCTTCATCTAGATTGGATGAAAATCAAACATCGAACCCACAGTCACACTGTCCCAGTGCTGATTCATTCATTCTTACCATGGTTCTTCCTCTTTACAAGAAATACCACGCAAAAGCAGGTGCTTCCGCTGACGTATTGCGCGCATGAAGGTTAGACCCAAAAAGGCAAGGGCCTTATTTTACATCATTTCACACGTCATTTGCATCATCACCATCACCATCATAATCGTTGAAAGCACCACTAGCGCGAAAACACTGGCGCTTAACTGCCGTACACATTGAAACGTCGGATAAGTAATGCTCACATCGGTTTTCCACGTAAAATATTGAACGGTGAAAGCTCTCACTCAAGTTGGGGTGGTGAGTCCCAGAGTTCAACCGCAAGCTGACCAACTGCTGCATGCTTCGGGTAGATAGTACCCGGTCAGGTTCGCCTTAGCTAGAACGTGAAGCTTTGGTCATTTGTACGGTGGTTGCTTCGTCTCTGCCTGAGTGATACCCCTGAGAAGTAGTATTTCCTTCTCAGTTACCTAGGACTTTTTTTGGTGTGGGGGAGTTAAACAGAGAAAGCTTGTATCAAGAAAGAATTATGATCCAATGGAAGGTTTCTTATAAAGGAAGAATGACATATTCAAGATGCAAAGAAATCGCGAATCGCCCAAACTGTTGTCCTCTTCGATGTGTCCCTTAGGTAGATGCTTCTTACATAAAAGGTCCGACCTGATATTTGAAAAGTCCACTTCTTGATAAGCCCAAATGAAACAACCGGTTAAAGTGTTTGGGTGAAAGCTGACTAATATGGCATAGCAGCCTGCTTAAAAATTGATACTGGGCTTGATGCGATTAACATTGGGTCACATTGTGACGTTTAGACAGAACTTCCACGGGGACTTTCTCAAAGAAGAGTTCGACGTTGGTGACCTAGGGTGCTTAGGACACGATTCCTACAAACCTGAATTTGCTTTAAAATGCATTCAATGTTGTCTGTTGTGGCCACGGCTCCTTTTTTCGCTGTATAATTTTTGCCTGAATCGTTTCAATGTCGGGCATGATGTGCCAAAGTAAGTTCGAATCCACTGTGCAGTGCAGACTATCTTTTCATAGTGCAATTCTGGCTATATCGGTTCACTTTCTCACCGACGGTGTCTTCTTTGAGATCCACCTTAGTTAATTCACGTTCATGTTGACGATGTTTGACTTACTTGGTGTGGAATAAAAACGTGCTTCCTGCTCCTACATGATATGGTGGTGAAGCTCTTCGTAAGTATTCCATAGGTGTTTCCGTTTTGTATTCAATTCCAAAGCCAGTTCACCGCCAAAAGTCATAAACTGCTTCATTTCAACATGCGTGCGATGCAAAATAACGCAAAAGTGTCACAATCAGCTACCCAGGAGCGGATGTTCGCAACTCCACCTCTAATTGCGTGACCAGAGCTCGGTAGTAGTCACTCTGCTGAAACGGCCTCTTAAACGAATAAAATCGAGAGCAGAGTGGACATACCTGCACAGCTCAGCTGTTTTCACTCGAAAGTGGAACCCATTCGACATGAAGATCAAAGGCCAACCAAGTTACAGCGGGTTTCTCCTAACCACTAACGATAGCAACAGCATAAGAGTGCAACTGATGGTTTGTCGGGGAAATCTAAGTGAGAGATCGGTGGAAACTATCACATTTTGAAGGCTCGTTACGTCTCTTAGGTCGTGTACGATGGCGGGGCAACAACGATCTATTCTGTCGAGTATCTTATCTTACGAGGTGTATTCCGCAAAGTGGATTCAATCATTAGGAAAATCAGAGCCACAGGAAGGTGTTGTTTCTTTGATACATTCGCTGTAAAGAGGATCGCTCTAAATTGACAGCACTGGAGACCTGAATGCCCAGGTTTTCTATTGCCTTGGAAGCAGTACTTACTTCGACCTGGTTCGCTATGTCCAATTTCTATGGGCTCCTCACAATTTTGAGTGTTTACATTATGCAACGAATCGTTCTTGTCCGGAGCCGCTACTGACTGCGTATCTTCTGGTGGAGGTGCACTTGAGTGATTCCCAGTTTGGCTTCGATTCACTTTCGTTAGCAGTCGTTTGCGCCGATGACAGTTGACCATTGAAGGTTGCCGGACTAACGCACCAGCGGGAGGTTTGGTGAAATCACTTTCCGGACAATAAATCCCCAACAAACGCGTGACTTCACGCTTAATGTGGACGGGCGAATGCAGTTAGGTAGAGAGGGAAATAGGGGCAGTTAAGTAAAACGAAAAGAACAGAACAGAAATTAGTAAGCAACGCTTCAGTTCAGCTAGGTCATCTAGCAACAAGATACATCACACACATTATGGCACTAATGAGAACTCACCGAAACTTACACTATCTTAAAAAGTAGCGCGTGTCAAATGAATTTATGATTATAGGGTAAACCAGTTTTCGGTAGTTCGTTAGAAATATAGGGGAAACACTCCGCATTCTTTCAACAGCCGTAATATCTGTCCAAACAATAAACACGGTACCTCTCAAGTCTAAAATAACACTTGATCCCACGTATGGACTCAGTGACTGAAGAATGAGTGACGCTATACCCTGTCTGTGAGCATTAATCAGAATGCTGGTCATCCAGTTCAAACCACCAGCAGGGTGGTGGCAGGTTTGGAACTCCCTGGAGTATCACGAGATGTATAATGATGATGATTTCAAATTAGGATGACCAAGTTCTAAAGTGCTCCCAGGCTGTTCAGTATAGAGTGGCTTCACTTGCAGAATCTTCCAATCTACCTATACTACCAACAATGAAATAGTTTGACTGACTAATGCAACCGTTCCTCAGAACCACGGTAGCTGGCTTTGGTATTGTCGCCACCACTTTAATGGACTCCATCGTCAGAGAATTTTTTTCGATGAGTTGTAGAACGTGGTCGATAAGGTGTGTGAGTGTGATATACTGTTATTTGAAGGTGACCGGAATTTCCGCGCAGGCCGATCGGATGACTCCATTCACTATACCTTCGAAAAGCTCGATCTACAGAAACAGCGAAAAACGTGTTACCTTCGCCGTTTCGAAGCCCCTGAGAATTGCTAATATGCATTCCGTCATCCAAACGGTATTTACTAACGTGCAATTCGAACGGCAGCCACAAAAACCCCCGAAACGACTACATTCCGATACAACCTTGATGCGAAGAAGGGTCATATCGAAGAACATGAAGAAACGAGGAACACAGAAAAACCGAACCGAATCAAACCCCATCTAGCCATGAAAGATGAACATTCTGACGCAGGATCATCCCAGATAGATACTGACACAGGAAAACCAATCTCTGCAATAGTAGAGTATCACCAATAGCAGCCAACTACATGCACCACCGGAAAAATCACTTGGCCTCAGTAGATCAGTGTATTGAAGATTGTATTTGGGACATCTGTCGAGCAAGCCTCGAAGAATTATCCTCGTTAGATCGCACGACACAAAGACAAAATTTCCACCCAAAATGATCAACCCCTTAGGGTTGGCATTACAGGAGCGCCTTGAGACATGTGGATTACGCTGAGCCGTACGTGCATCCATCTGGAAGCTCTGTAGCCGGTGTAAACCAGAAAGAATGAAACATGAGGGTGGACAGCATTTAGCAATTCCACAGCTATAAAATGTCCAACGGGCGGCCCAGAATTGTGAATTCTAGCGGGTAGAAACGAGTAGGTGAACCTCATGACACACGCAGAGTCACCAGATCCCCATGGCTCAAGAGACACATCTCGGTCCCACACATAAGGCTAGCAAGTACTAGCCATTTTACAGTTTGGTTGTAAGCTTAATCTTCGGAATGTTAGGGCGGGTCATTTGTATCGATAGGCGTGGAATGTAAACATAGATTTAGTCCAAGAATGTACAACAAAACACATCTGGGCAGAACACAATGAAATATGGTGTGATGCACGCAAAACAAGTGAGAGAGCCCTGAAAGCAAACAGACCTTCTGGCATTAGAGTAAATCACTCAAATGAAGCAAAATATACTGCAATAAAAAGAAGCATATCATATTACAACATTCAACGAAATATTGCACAATGCATACAGGATAAAGATGCACATGAAATGAAATAAACAAACAAATTTAATAAAATAACAAACGCAGAACCCAAAAAAAATCAAGTAAGCAACTTATAGAGTTGTGCAGTGGTACTCAAGCGGACTGCCCACATACCCAACATATATACTACAGGGTCGGTCTTCTCTGGAGGTGATATCTACAAAAATAAACTACTTAAATTATGTATCAATGACCTCAACCTCAGAAGATCCATGTGACGCAGAAGTTTGGCCCAAACTATTACTTAGTGATGCCACGCCAATGGCATCAATCAGTTAATAAAATTGTGTAGACTTCACGCAGCTTTGGCCAGCCCCAATATTGGCGGTTGTACGGAGCTGGCTTCCTAACGGAGTTTTCCTATGTTCTACTGTGGTTGTTGTTTTTGGATGACAAAGGCGGTCTTTGTGACAGGGTGCTTGTCACACCGCAGATGCTATAACAGATGGTCACAGTAGCAATGCACGTCTGATTGCGCCACTGCACCATTGAAATTCGAGCTAATTACGTAATAATTTGCTCGTATGAAAGGGAGATGTCCCTGCGAAAGAGAGGCCATAACTCATCTAGAACCAGCTGAGCGATTGCGCCAATCATTGAAATTCGAGCTAATTACGTAATAATTTGCTCGTATGAAAGGGAGATGTCCCTGCGAAAGAGAGGCCATAACTCACTCATAACCAGCTGAGCCATTCCCATGATATCAGGTGAATACTATATATATATATATATATATATATATATATACAACTACAACTACACATAACTATTAAGACACTAAAGCCGTGCTGTAACTAAAGTGTTGGACCAATTCGGTTAACCCTCGGCGTAGATGTCGGCATCACAGCGAAGCCGATTTTAGAAACACTCGTGTGGCTAAATATGTTTACCTGAACTGTTAACAATGACCCCACAGGCTCTAGCAAATCTTCATTTGCAACGACATCTCTCTTCAGTGTCCAAATGAACCATACCCACTCAAAAATCCTCAATAACCGTTCGAATTGTACTTTCCAGCAGACCGTTAGATTGGATGTGACTTGGTCCGTTGTGAGTTGAAGTGAGCTGATGGGAGTAATCGGCTTCACTGTGCAGTGTGAACAACATGCAGAATACAAGTGTGAGAACAAGTCCTTTGAACACAGTACACTGTCCTGTCATCATCATGATACTGTCACGGAACACATGATCCGAATTTCTACTAAGGTATACCCCCGATGACAGCATTCAGAGG